CCCCAAAACCCCAAAACCCCTTTGCCAAAGTAAGATAACACTTATACGAATATTTGAATAGGTGATTGTAAATTTATTTTTTATATGCTATACATAAAACATTATATGTGTTTATTTAAATCAAAAGCACTTTCTGTGGATAATGGCTGGACCTGACTCGTCGTACTCTTGCTTATTGATCCACATTGTTTGGAAAGTAGATAGTGAAGCTAAGATTGAACCTCCGAGCCAAACTGAATACTTTCTCTCGGGTGGGGCAAGAATTTTGATTTTGTTGGTAGATGGCGCTAATTAATGTATTTCTTGCCACATTCTTTCTCCCATGCCCTCGAAAAGAGTAGAACCACCACTTAGGATGATATTTTGGAAAAGATCTCTTCTAACGTCTACATCGCACTTCATGACTGAATCGTAGCAATATTTATGCACTCCCTCGAGTTCATGGCCAGCATGTTGTGGTGAGAATAAAATTTCTGCGCATTTGAATCTCTCATAACCTATGAGTATCTTTCTACCATCTGGGAGCTCATAATTCTTTTCGCAAGCGTGACTCTCATCAGCTTCCTTAAGGGCCTCTTCGTAGTTATTTACAACATAGCACATGGTCTCCTTGATATCTCTGACAATTTCTAACTCGGCGGCGGTAGTGAAGTTATAACCTCTCTTAGCAAGTAATGTCTTTAAATAGTCTGTCAAATCTCTACCAGCAAGATGAATTCTTTGGATGGCGTGGGGAATAGCATAACCTTCATAAATAGGTACAGTATGTGAAACACCATCACCTGAATCTAAAACAACTCCAGAGGTTCTACCAGAGGAGTAGAGGGCTAATACACCTTGAACTGAGACGTAGAGGCAAGGTACATTGAAAACCTCAAACATGATTTAAGTCATTCTCTCTCTATTTTATTTTGGATTAAGGGGGGCCTCAGTCATAAGAATAGGATGCTCCTCTGGAGAGACTCTAAGCTCGCTGTAGAGAGTATGATGCCATACCTTTTCCATATCGTCCCAATTCTTTACAATACCATGTTCAATTGGTTGCTCGATTTTTAAGACTCCTCTTTTAAGTTGAGCCTCATCTCCAACATAAACCTCTTTCTGATCTAATCCTACCATGATACCTGGCATCTTAGGTCTTCCTACGATTGTGGAAAATACTGATCTGGGAGCATCATCTCCAGCAAATCCAGCTTTGCACATTCCTGATCCATTATCAATGACAACTGCCGTTACCTCTTCTTCCATCTTTCAAATTATTTTCTTTAGTTTATATTATATAAATATACTAAATGAGATTTATATACTCTTTTAAATTTATTCATCAAGGGGTTTTGGGGTTTTGGGGTTTTGGGG